GCGCCCAGCAGCGGGCCACGCGGGGGCAGCCGTGCACCTGGGCTGGGGAGGCCCAGCTCAGCGACGCAGCGGCGGCTGGGAGGAGCTGCCCTCGCAGGAGGAAGTGCTGCCCGTGAGCTCCTCCTGCTGGTTCTCCTCGACCCCCTCTGCCTGTAGCTGGACTGAAAGACTGAGAGGCGTCCTTAAACAGGGAGACCTGCTTGGCGCTAAAACCACTGATCAAATTTGAACACTCCGGCGCTCAACAGCGCAGAATGTGGAACGTAAAGAGAAGACAAAACATAAAACAAGAAAACGCCCTGAGCCGGTGCCCAGCCTGGGCTGCTCGGCCCCTCGTACCCCTAGTGCTGGGCCGAGCTGCGCTGCGTCTGCTGAGAGACGCTGGACCTTAGCTTTACGGACCTGAGCTCCCGCCCGCACCGTCGTCCAGGCTTCTCCCGGTTTTGTGGGAAACACATGAAATGGGCAGATTTTCCTTCTGTCTGTCCTGACTGACCGTCCCAGTGAGACTGCCGCGCTCCCTTCCAGAGGATGAATCACACAGACAGCCACAGATCAAACGCTTAATGCTTGTCAAGTTCTATGAGGAACTGCTGTCTTGAAATTTTTTACTCACAATTTTCATGTTCTGACAGGAAACAGTGAAGGACCTGCCCACTGAAGAGGCCCAGGAGGTGACCTCGGAGCGCGGGAGGGGCACTAGGGGTGTGCGGGCCGCGCCGCAGGGTCTTTGTGCACGCTGCGCTTTCCGGAGGGGCTCAGCCCCCACGGGGCTGGGGACTGAGGTCAGCAGCGTGGGCTTCAGTTGGGTCCACACAAACGACCTCCGGCGGAAAGCCCGGGACTGCGGGGGTCCGGTGGGCCTCCAGGCTGTCTGCTGGGAGAAGCAGGCACTGTCCTCACCCCCGTGGGGAGCGACAGCTGGAAGCCACGATGGTCTCGGGGACCTTGGCACAGGCATCTCCCCTACTGGCTGACTTCCATCATGACCCTGACTGCACGCAGCAGCCGTGCAGAGCTCCCTGCGTCCTGGGGGGGTGGTGTCAAACCTGGAAAGGTCTTGGGGCCCTGAACCTGCAGCGGTGTCTGAGGCCAGCCCTGCGCTGACCTGGCTCAGAGTACGTGTCCATCACCTGCCACCCCTGAGCCTCCCCGACGAGACCAGGTGCCCCACGGAGACAATGTGGGCCAGGCCAGCTCAGAGTGAGAACCCCACCCTGGACCAAGAAGGCAGTGGCCAAGCGGTGACCCTGAGCGCTGCCGGCACTGCCCTGGCAGAGTCGAGGAAGCAGCCTTTTCGCTGGGTCAGGACCTCCTGCCGCTTTCTAGAAATACCCAAGTAAGGCCGTGTAGAAAGGAGGCGTCTCTTACCCCGGGAAGGATCCCAGTGACAGAATCGGGTGACCTGGAGGCACTGCAGGGCTGGAAGAGGGCCGTTCTCCCCACACAGTGCGGACCGCGGCGGGGCGCTCGCACACGGGAGAGGGAAAGGAGGACGTCACAGCCAATGCACCCCCTCTGCCAGCCGCCGAGCACCAGGAGACGTTCGCTGGGCTGGCTGTCCCACCCAGACATGGCGCGCCCACAGCGGCCACCTTTCCACGCACGTCTCTGACATGGCCACTCCTCCATGAGGCCCAGGCAACAGCCAGCGTCTCCCTGCAACACAGAGGCCAGGCCCCGCCGGAGTCCTTACCCCGCACCGGGGTGGGGGGTGCGCCAGTCCTGGGTGGTTTGTCAGCAGCAACTGTTCTGCTCCGGGGGCTGAGCTGCTGGCTTAGAGGGACATGGACAACCCTGGGCCCTGAAAAGTGTGCTCAGCGTCCCGGTGAGTCACTGAGGAGCTCGAGCTGGAACCCGCCCGCGCCTGCTGGCTGTCAGGTGTGCCTCCCCGGGACGCTGCAGGACGCCGGGGCCCACCGCGCCGCGAGGCTGCAGCGCTGCATTCGGGCGCCAGCACCGCGCTCTGACGACGGCTCCAAGAAACCGCACGCGGACACTGGCACAGCGAGAGCACAGCTGGGGGCCGAGCGACAATTCTGCAAGCCCACTGTGAGCGCAAAATGAAAGTGAAAATCCACGTGCTTTCCCCACACAACTTCTCTGTGACCGGCAAATGGGCCAATACCCAAGTTAACTTTCGGCTTGCACCGTGAAAGGTTACTGTCATAGCCTGACCTGTGAATTGTCTCTTCTGGCAAGCGCCCCGTCACCTGGCTGTGCCCCGCCGCAGGCAGGACATGCGCCTTCTATATTTGGTGACTCACATCTCTCTTATCTAGTCTATGCTTCACTTCACAGCCCACGTGAGGCAGCGGCTTACACGGAAGTCAGTTTGGTTCTGACACCAAGCCTGGCACCCGTCCAGCCGTCTTTAGTCAGCGATCACTTTGGGGAGTAAGCATCGACGCCCGCCAGAGGAGGATCCAAAGTCCTCACGCGACAGACGCTTTCTTTATAGCGCAACGCAGGCTGCTTAGTGCTGGGCAGAATTCTGAGAATATAAAATGAAACATTCCTGAAGAGGCCCTTAAACAAACAGCCCAGAAGGACGGGCATGAACCCGGGGAACGTCGGCGCACCTGCCGCTGCCTCCTGCCCGGGCTCAGCACCCCCCACCCCACCGCCCACGCCAGCGGGAGGGTCTCCCGGCTTCCAGCTCCACCGTCGTGTTGCAGAGCACAGGACCCTGCTCCCTGTACAACTGAAATAAATACACTAGTGGCGCTCTTTTCCGAAGGCTCTTAGCAGTAACTTACATCCAGTGATAATAAGTGTAGAAATTACAGGAAAGAACATTTCTAAGGTATTGACAGTTTGACTCTATTTTCTTCCTAAAGATGTTTCAGCAATGAAAGCAAACACTTTCTGAAAGCACATAAGCCGCCTGCTAATGCAGCACGAACAGCATCGCCACGAGGTGTGACGCGCTTCTTCGAGTGATCAGAGCAGACGGCTAGGAGTTCAGGCGCTCCAGCCAAGTGCTTCCCTAGAAGCCCGCATACACGGATCCGGGGAAGCAGTCTACTCCGGCGAAGCCACAGCCCCCACCCCACGTCCCCCACTGCCCTCCTGCCCCCTCCGTGGGCCAGCTCCTCCCGGGTCACCCCCACGTCACACTCACACATCGAGGCCAGCAGCCTTAGCACCCCTGTGCCCCAAGGCCCCCACGTCTGCGTGTTCACTGCTCTACACCCAGGACCAGCACTGAGGACGCTCCTCGAACCAGCGAGAACTCAGTGTCTTGTGTGAGGGATGTGGCCGCGG